GTAGCTTCTCGATGACACCACCTTTGCTGCTGATCCAACTAGAAAGGCCTGGGTTTTTATTTTATTTTATTTTATCTTAGATTTATTCATTTATTTGAGAGAGAGTGTGTGTGCAAGCAGGGGGAGGGGTGGAGGGGGAGGGAGAGGGACAAGCAGACTCCACACTGAGCACAGAGCCCGACACAGGGCTCAATCCCACGACCCTGGGATCACAACCTAAGCCAAAATCAAGAGTGAGACACTTAACTGACGGTGCCACCCAGGCGCCCCAAGCCTGGGTTTTTTTCACACTGACAAGAAAAATGGAAACAATATAGCACTTTGGTCTGGTTACCCGTATTGACATTCATCAGCCTAACACCTTCTTTGTTTGCCTTTTTCCAAGTAACCAGCGAAACTGCTGCTCATGTTTATCCGAGTTCTCAATTATTCTCAGATCATGTCCCTTTATCATATCTGCTTTTCTAACCGCATGGACGATAAGGGACTCTCAGAGGTATAATCTGGGATAAGATGTAACATGGACATAGGGCCAGGCCATGAGGCACACGAACATTCATCTTCAAATAGCCGCTGTTGTACAGAGAACGCAGTGCAAACAAACTCAGCCGATTTCATCAATGATGAAGCCAACAGCCAGCACAGACACCACAGATACCCTGAAGATATTTTGCCACCTTTTTTTTTTTTTTTTGCATTCCAGATGCCTGTCACCTGAGTCCCTCCCCCAAACCCTCCAGGTTATGCACCTGCGTCTGTCCAGCCCAACCCCAGCGTTAGCCTCCGCTGCTCTCTGCATGCCTGGGGGAAAGTATGCAGCAATAGGAGAGCATGCCAAAAGCCAGGGCCTCCACAGCTGCCAGTGAGCTCATAGTTGGCCGTGGCCGCTGCTGCCTGCCCTGACCCCCATCACTACGTGGGTGTCTGCAACTGGATCCTGCCACTACACAGGCATTTGCAGCTGGCCCCTGCAGCTGAATGTGCACACACCACTGGCTCCAGCCACCACGGCTGTCTGCCCGGGTCCCTGGCCACCAGAACTGGAGGCGCTGCCAAAGGCAGCGGCCCTTGGAGCCACTGCAGACCCCATGGTGCTTGCGAAGGACCATTTAGTTGTTGATGCTGTGTTCCACAGCATCCTGAGCCAAAGAGGCATCATACCCGATTAGCCCTGGTGATGTCAGAGGGTACAGCAGAGGCCAGCATACCCCACCCAAAGGCAAAAGGCTTCACGTATGGAAGTCAGTCCATAAAGGCTGGAATAGGTAACTGCTTACTCAAAAGCACAGCCACCTATACAAAGCCACAGGGATGACAAAGGATCAGGGAAACACGTCTCCACTGAAGGAACACAGTAAACCTCCAGTAACTAACCCCCCCCCGCCCCCGCCAACAAATGGAGATCCAGCAATTTCCCTGCAATGAGTTCAAAATATTTGTTCTAAATATGCTCAAAGATGTACAAGAGAACACAAATGAACAATTTAATGATATCAGGAAAACAGTACAGGAATAGAATGAGAAGTTCAACAAAGAGAAAACATCAAAAGGAAACACATTTGTGAACTGAATACAATGACTGGACTGAAGAATTCGAAAGAGAGCTTCAACAACACACTTGAACAAGCAGAAGAATCATTGAGCTAGAAGACAAATCAATTGAACTTATCCAATTAGAGGAGTAAAAATAAGAAAAAATGAAAATGCAAGAAGAAAGTCTATGGGACTTACGAAATACCATAAACAGAAATATTATCCATATCACTGGAGTCCCCAGAAGGAGAAGAGAGGGAGAAAGTGGTCGAAAGCTTATTTAAAGAAATAAAGGCTGTGGTGGCTGGGTGGCTCAGTTGGTTAAGCATCTGCCTTCGGCTCGGGTCATGATCTCAGGGTCCTGGGATTAAGCCCAGCGTCGGGCTCCCTGCTCAGTGCAAAGTCTGCTTCTCTCCCTCTCTCTCTCCCTCTCCCTCTGCCCCTCCCCCCACTCATGCTCTCTCTCTCAAATAAATAAATAAAATCTTTAAAAAAAAATGGCTGATATAACCAACATAAGAGCATCTAAATATATAAAGCAAATATTAACAGACCTAAAGGGAGAAATAGAGAGCAATATAATAATAGTAGGGGACTTTAATACCCTACTTTCATCAGTGAATAGTTCATCCAGACAGAAAATCAATAAGGAAGCAGTGGCTTTGAATGACACATTAGGTGAGATGGACTTAACAGACATTTACAGAAAATTGATCCAAAAGCAACAGGATACACAATATGCATTCTTCTCAAACAGACATGGAACATTCTCCAGGAGAGATTATATCTTAGGCCACAAAACAAGTCTTAGTAAATATAAGAAGATTGAAATTATATCAAGCATGTTTTCTGACCACAACAGTGTGGAGCTAGAAATCAATTACAAGAAGAAAACTGGAAAATTCACAAGTACGTGGAGATTAAACCACATGCTATTGAACAACCAATGGGTCAAAGAAGAAATCAAAGAAATCAAAAATATCTTGAGACAAATGAAAATGGAAATACAACATACCAAAACTTATTGGATGCAGCAAAAACAGTTCTAAGAGAAAAGTTCATAGGGATAAATGCCTACATCAGAAAACAAGAAAGATCTTGGGGCGCCTGGGTGGCTCAGTCGTTAAGCGTCTGCCTTGAGCTCAGGTCATGATCCCAGGGTCCTGGGATTGAGCCCCATATCGGGCTCCCTGCTCAGTGGGAAGCCTGCTTCTCCCTCTCCCACTCCCCCTGCTTGTGTTCCCTCTCTCGCTGTGTCTCTCTCTGTCAAACAAATAAAATCTTTTAAAAACAAAAAACAAAAAAACAAAAACAAGAAAAATCTCAAATAAACAACCTAACTTTACACCTCAAGCCCTAGAAAAAGGAGAGTGAATGGAGCCCAAAGTTAGCAGATGGAAGATCAGAGTGGAAATGATATAGAGACTAAAAATACAATAGAAAAGATCCCCTATTGCAACAGGGAAGGCTTCTTTGGGATGACATTTGAACAGAAGATGCTTGATTAGAGAGAGTAATTCACTTTTGCTGTTAATAGTATTCTTTCACTTGAGATTTTTCTGGTTCTTTGTATGACAAGTGATTTATGATTGATTGTATCCTGGACATGTGGGTATTATGTTCTGAGTATCTGGATCATCCTTACATGTTATACTTTAGCAAACAGTTCAGATTTAGCCCTCAGGTCATGGCGTACTTTCGTGGGCTGTGTTTCGAATGACAATTGGGATTTCAGAGGCCTTGAAAAGCTATTCTGCTCTGCTTTACTTACGTGTTACTCAGAGGCCAACCTGAGTGCCTAAGCAGGATTTCAACTTCTTGTACAGGTAACTTGGGGGTTTTGCCCAGGATGAGATATATATTTAAAAATTCCTTTTTCCCACTCCTTCCTTGACTTTCTAGTTTGGAGGGGTTGAAACATCACCTCATCAAGCTTGCCCAGCTCTGTCTCCTAGATATCACCTCATTAGTGGAAAGGGAATGCTGCCTCCCAACTACCAACTGGGGCAACGTGTACTAGCAATTTTTAAGTATCAAGGAATTTAATGTTGAAAAACTTTCACTCTGTGCTTCTCTAGTAGGAAAAAAGACACAGATGTTCATTCAGCATCTTAGCAAAAAAACACCAAAAAATTCAGCTAAGGTACACTTGTTGAGTGGAATCTGAGCAGGAGGGCAGAAATGTGTAAATAAGGAGAGTATCCTGGGATCTGTGCTTTATTAGAACAGAGACCAGAAATGCTATCCACAGGATCAAAACCAGTGAAGTATGATGGCAAGGAAAAGGAACATGTTCCTATTTCAGATTATACAACAAAGTTAAATAAACTGAGCCATCAGTATATGTGACATTCATCCACAAGATCTCTTTTTTGCTGAGTAAATATTCGATAAATAAACTAAATGTTAAAAAATAATGAAATGATATTTTTATACACGTGGATGAGTTATTTCCCCATATGGTGGCCTGGGAAAGTGCATTTTCATTAGAGAATTCATTCCTAATTCATGGGTATTGTGTAATTTTTGTGATAAGCTTTTTATTTTTTATTTTTATTACGATTTTATTTATTCATTTGAGAGAGAGGGAGAGAGCACAAGTGTGGGGAGGGGCAGAGGGAGAGCCTGAGCAGGGAGCCTGATGCGGGACTCGATACCAGGACCCCAGAATCATGACCTGAGCCAAAGGCAGACACTTCCAACTGAGCCACTCAGGTGCCCCATGTGATAAGATTTTAAAATAAAAAACTCAATAATAAGAGAAAAAAAATACATTGATGACGATTAAGCAAAACATTCAAGAAGAAAGCACTTTCCTATACCATATTAAAAAAAAAAAATGAGGTTACTGTCACTACCAAATGTTGCCACATATTCCACACTATAAAAATTTAAATCTCAATAGAAAACATTATCTTTTTTCTCTCTCTTTTTTAAATTTTTTATTGTTATGTTAATCACCATACATTACATCATTAGTTTTTGATGTAGCATTCCATGATTCATTGTCTGTGTATAACACCCAGTGCTCCATGCAGAGTGTGCCCTCTTTAATACCCATCACCAGGCCAACCCATCCTCCCACCCCCCTCCCCTCTAGAACCCTCAGTTTGTTTTTCAGAGTCCATCGTCTCTCATGGTTCATCTCCCCCTCCGATTTCCCCCCCTTCATTCTTCCCCTCCTGCTATCTCCTTTTTTTTTTTTTAACATATATTGTATTATTTGTTTCAGAGGTACACGTCTGTGATTCAACAGTCTTGCACAATTCACAGCGCTCACCATAGCACATACCTTCCCCAATGTCTATCACCCAGCCACCCCATCCCTCCCACCCCCCACCACTCCAGCAACCTTCCATTTGTTTCCTGAGATTAAGAATTCCTCATATCTGTGAGGTCATATGATACATGTCTTTCTCTGATTGACTTATTTCGCTCAGCATAACACCCTCCAGTTCCATCCACGTTGTTGCAAATGGCAAGATCTCATTCCTTTTGATGGCTGCATAATATTCCATTGTATATATATACCACATCTTCTTTATCCATTCATCTGTCAATGGACATCTTGGCTCTTTCCACAGTTTGGCTATTGTGGACATTGCTGCTATAAACATCAGGGTGCACATACCCCTTCGGATCCCTACGTAGAAAACATTATCTTAACAAAAATAACTAAGATAACAAGGGTCAATAATTTCTTTAAAAGCACCTATGTTTATATTTAGGAGAGTTACAGTACTTAAAGATGGTACAGGAATCAAAATTGCTTTTCAAAAGAATGTGTTTCCTAGGGGCACCTGGGTGTCTCAGTCAGTTAAGCGTCTGCCTTCCGCTCAGGTTATGATCCCAGGGTCCTGGGATTGAGCCCCTGTTTAGTGGAGAGCCTGCTTCTTCCTCTCCCTCTACCCCTTCCCCACTCGTGCTCTCTCTCTCACTCTCGCTTCTATCTCAAATAAATAAAAATCTTTAAAAAAAAAAAAAGAATGTGTTTTCTATATTACTGTAGTGAGACAAAAAGATATGCCCACATTCTAATCCCCAGAATCTGTGACTCCTTTATATAGCAAAAGATGTGATTAAGTTAAAGATCTTAAGAGGAGGTACTTATTCTGGATTATCTGGGTGAGCTTTGAATGCAATCGCCTTGCAAAAGAGACAAAGAGATGTAGAGGGAGTTTACAGACACAAAGAGGGGAAGGCAATGTAAAAATGGAACGGAGGGAGATGCCGCCCAGGAATGCTAATAGCCATTATTAGAAGCTGGTGGAGTCAAGGAAGAGATTGTGTCCTAGAGCCTCCAGAGGGAGTGTGGCCCTGCCAACACTTTGATTTTGGACTTCCGTACTCCAGAACTCTGAGAGATAACTTTTTGTTGTTTTAAGACACCCAGTTTATGATAATTTGTTATGGCAGCCCTAGGAAACTGATACAATTATCCTTACACAACCTTATTGTTTTCTCTTTGCCTCCTACATGAGTTTCACATTCCCCATGGAGTTTCCAATTATTGAGATACTGTCTGAAGAAGGAGCATAAGATTGTGAGCTCACAAGGAAAGCAGAAGAGCCAGCAGTCTTATTCCCTAACATTGTACCATACTTGGCTACAGCTATGCGATATGTGCACATTAATGATCACCAATGGCTAGAAGATGCCGTAAACTTTAGTCCAAGTTTTGCCTTTGACCATTCGATTCTCTTCAAGGAGAATCAAGTCATAGGGTTAAGAATGGAACCATGAAGTTCAGTTTTATACATTTATTTCTGCTTCTTTCCTTAAAGTTAGAGCCAAGTGATGATCCTGGAGCAAAAGGTCCCTCTCCCCCAACAGAGGTAGTGATGGAGGAGGAGGTCCTTGAACAAAGATGACCGTGGTGGTGATGATGGTTTACCATTTATTCCAGGTAAAGGAATTGGAAGAGGAGAAACAACTCCTTTGGGTAGGGGTGGCACTGGTAGAGATGATGGTGGGCATGGCCCTCTATCTGCCTATAGAGGCAGTAGAAGAGGTCCTGAAATTTATGAGTAACTGGACAGCCAATGTTCCTTAATAGAAATAATCTAATGTTGAAATGCTTGCAGTAAAATATGCAATAGACATTTGTGGGTTTTTTTAGAGATGATACACTACTTATTAATTTATCAATCTTCAAGGACTTAGTACCTGAAAGAGACTTGTACAGATATTTAATAAGCATTTTTAACTCTACACAATGAGGGTCCTTCTGCTAACACTCTAATGCTAGAAGAGTTGGCATCCTCATCTAAAACTTTGTGAAACAGTACTCCAAAATAATGAGAAATTAGATTTCATGGTAAAGATATGCAAAGAAGTATTCTATCTGGCCTGGGCCTGTTAGACTAGTTTGTTCAAATATGGATAATACAAGGTTATGGTTTGATCCCCTTGGGAGCTAATTAGCTTTACACAAAGAGTCTGTCTCAGAGTACCAATGGTCTAGCTATCTTATAACAACGTAAGCGACATCCATTTGTATAGTAATATATGCTTATCAAAGTTTTTACATCTATGATCCCTTTTGAGCCTTATTATAACCTTGTGATATAGGTAGGGCAAGTAGTTTTATCTCACCACTTATAGATGAGACACTGAGACTCCAAAAGCCTAAGTGATTGGACAAAGGTCACAAATTTAGTGTGAAACATGATTAGGACTTGAATGAAGTTCTTCACACACCTAATTCAGCTCCCTCTCTATTATAGCAGACTACCTCCTCATGCCTGCAAGTCATTTGTCATGAGCTGAAGACAGAACCTAGGTGAAAGTCCTAATATGGAGAGTGAAAAAAGGGAGAGTAACCAACTTCTTAGAGGGAAAAAAAAAAAAAAAAAAGGAAAGTAGGATAGAAAAAAATTTGTCAAATATTACAGATACAGTAAAGAAAAGTGAGGCTAAGAAAAGGCCACCAGATTGGGTCACTTGGAGTTCACTGTAGAGTTTTTTGTTAAGTTTTCAGTAGAATAGTAGAAACCGACCAATTCAAGCAACAAACACCTATTGAGGATCCACTATGTTAAGATACAATCTTCACATTCTGAATATTCCCTCCAAATATGAGCTGTCTTGAGCAGAGTACTTAATCAGTTGTAAAGTGTAGACCACCTAACAAGGATTTAAGTATCATGAAAACTTTCCTCAAAGAGAATGTAGGTGGGAATATAAAGTTGACAGGTTTTGAAATGATGGTAGTCAAGATTATAGAGGTCTACAAAAGTTTTGGGGATCATTAAAATAATTGAAGATTTTCTTCATGAAAGGAAATGTCCTGATGGTTAATTTTATGTGTCAACATGACTGGGCAACAGGGTGCCCAGATATCTGGCTAAACATTATTCTGGGTGTTTCTGTGAAGGTGTTATTGGATGAGATTAATATTTGAATTGGTAAATTGAGTAACACAGATTGCCCTCCCTAATGGGAGCAGGCCTAACCCAATCAATTGAAGGCCTAAGTATAACAAAAGTGCTGGTCTTCCAACCAGTAAGAAAGCATTCTTACTGCCTAAACTGCCTTTGAACTGGGACATTGGCATTTTTCCTGAGTCCATTTAGGACTCAAACTCAAACATTGGCTCTTCCTGGGTTTCAATCATGCTGGCCTTCCAACCAGAACGACATCATTGGTTTTCATGATTCTAAGGCTTAGATCAGATTAGATCAGATTAGATCCGATCTAAAGCAATGGCTCTCCTATGCCTGCAGTTTGCCAACTCACCTTGTAGATCTTGAAACTGGCTGCTACCATAATCATGTGAGCTACTTTGTTACATTATGTATATTATATATTATATAAGTTATATATAAAGTATATATACAAATTTATATAAAATATATGCATACTTACATATAAGTGTATGTTATATATTATATATAAAATATAGTCATATTTATATATGAATATATTATATATATATAATATATACATGTGTGTATGTATAATATATACATAAAATCTCTGTCCTGTTGGTTCTGTTTCTCCAGAACCCAGAGTCATATAAAAGTGGACCCAATTTTTCGAATTAGAATGAAAATTTTCTCTCAAAAATAATTTTGCTTGTATAATATATTCTATCACAAAATATGTAGAGAAGCTTAAGAAACTAATGTTTTAGTCTTTTCTACACATGGAAATGATTTGTCTTGGGAAATCAAATTTGTAGAGTTATTTAAACTAAAATTTTAATTTATGAGAAAGTCTGTTTCTGGCCCTATTTTCCTTCTATTTAATTAGATATTTTCCAAATTATAACTCATCTTGACATGATACAATATATATGTAGTTTCATTACCTGTGTTCAGTTTTGCTGGAATTCTGTTTTAAGCTCTTTGATCTTTTCTTCTGGCATCTTGTTTTGAGCTTGGGTTCAGACGATGAATTTTTCCTTTATCTACAATGATCATCACCATAAATGCACACTTAATAATATAGCTTCCAGAAAGCTTTAAACAATATTATATATTAAATAAATGGAATACCCTTTGCTTCTTTAATTCCCGGGCCTTCACTCATGACTATTTTCATGACAATTAAATACCCCTCTGTCGGGGTGGGGCTAGTGCTGGTGGTGGTAGTGGTAGTAATGATGAACGATGCTCTCAAACTAAGGCAAACAAAAGCATTTTTACTCCTGAAAAAAAATACTATAAAACATTTTTTAAATGTGTGAGCCACATTTTTCTTCATATATCATGGGCATTTTTTGTTTTGCTATTCAAAATTAGATCTTAATAATTTTATCCTAAATGGGGAAAAATTAAGAACTTTTCCTCTACAGTCAGGAACAAGACTGGGGTGTTCACTCGCCCCACTTTTATTCGACATAGCACTGGAAGTCCAAGCCACAACAATCAGACAACAAAAAGAAATAAAAGGCATCCAAATTGGCAAGGAAGAAGTAAAACTTTCACTATTTGTGGATGACATGATACTCTCTATAGAAAACCCAAAAGACTCTGCCAAAAATGAAGGGGGGGAAATCGGAGGGGGAGACTATGGACTCTGAGAAACAAACTGAGGGTTCTGGAGGGGGATGGGTTAGCCTGGTGATGGATATTAAAGAGGGCACATATTGAATGGAGCACTGTTATATGCAAACAATGAATCATGGAACACTACATCAAAAACTAATGATGTAATGTATGGTGATTAACATAACATAATGAAATAAAATTTTAAAAAAAATTTTTTAAATGTGGCATTACAAAAAAAAAAAAAAAGACTCCACCAAAAAACCGCTAGAATTGATCAGCAAATTCAGTAAAGTCACAGGATACAAAATCAATGTACAAAAATATGTCGCACTTCTATACACCAATAATGAAGCAGCAGAAAGAGAAATTAAGGGGCACCTGGGTGGCTCAGTTGGTTGAGCGACTGCCTTCGGCTCAGGTCATGATCCTGGAGTCCTGGGATCGAGTCCCGCATCGGGCTCCCTGCTCAGCAGGGAGTCTGCTTCTCCCTCTGACCCTCCCCACTCTCATGCTCTCTCTATCTCAGTCTCTCTCTCAAATAAATAAATAAAATCTTTAAAAAAAAAAAAAGAAAGAGAAATTAAGAAAACAATCCTATTTACAATTGCACCAAAAACCATAAGATACCAAGAAATAAACCTAACCAAAGAGGTGAAAGATCTGTACTCTGAAAACTATAAAACACTGATGAAAGAAATTGAAGATGACACAAAGAAATGGAAAGATATTCCATGCTCATGGATTGGAAGAACAAATATTGTTAAAATGTCTATACTACCCAAAGCAATTTATACATTTAATGCAATCCCTATCAAAATACCACCACCAGCATTTTTCACAGAGGTAGAACAAACAATCCTAAAATTTGTACAGAACTATAAAAGACCCCAAATAACCAAAGCAATCATGAAAAAAGAAAAGCAAAGCTGGAGGCATCACAATTGCACACTTCAAATTAGATTACAAAGCTGTAGTGATCAAAACAGCATGGTACTGGCACAAAAATAGACACATAGATCAATAGAATAGAATAGAAAACGCAGAAGTGAACCCACAATTATATGGTCAATTAATTTTCAATAAAGGAGGCAAGAATATACAATGGGGAAAAGGACAGTCTCGTCAACAAATGGTGCTGGGAAAACTGGACAGCTACATGCAAAAGAATGAAACTGGACCACTTTCTTACACCATATACAAATATAAATTCAAAATGGATTAAAGACCTAAATGTGAGACCTGAAACTATAGAAATCCTAGAAGAGAACACAGGCAGCAACTTCTTTCTAGATATGACTCCTGAGGCAAGGAAAAGAAGAACAAAAATAATTTATACTGTTTTTTAATGTTATACACCATATATTTAAGTTTAATAAATTAGAAAATGAAGTATAAAAATAAGATGTCAGATAGTTCAACTTCTTAAATATATTTAATCTTGAAATGAGATCGCACTTCTAGAACATTCAAGTTGATTCACATTAATACAAATTAGAATCTTTCTACTGCATCCTTAATTGCTTAGCATTCTAAAAGATGTGCTCCACCAAATCAGACAGTAGAATGATACACATCATAAAGGTATTCTCCTTGAGACAGTAAATCAAAATACTTGTATAAAATGTTACGAGGGAATGTGAGAGGTTAAAATATGGTACTAATCCAGAGAGATAATCTAAATGGTGGACATTCTTCTGCTGTGTCCTGCCACAACCCCTACCTCAGTCAGGCCTCTAAACAAGACCAAACAAACCTATTTAGTGTGAACTCTGGTTGGTCCAGCTAAAGAAACGCCATATTTACATTTTATTTCCCCTTTGTTGCAATGTCACCTCAAATCATTTTAGAAGGCTATACAACAATGCTACTCCTGTTTCTAAAAGTGATATATCTTCTTGTATGGAATTGTCTTTAGCTTAAATGGAACAATAAGGACTTTCACTGTTAATCAATATTCATTCTCAGAGTATATTTTACCTTTAGAAATTACAAAAGGCATTCAGATCCAAGTCTGAAGGAAGAGTGCGTGAACAATCTGGATAATAATAATGGTTAGGGTCAAACCTAAAATACTACTTATTGTTTTCTCCATTCGTATCTGAGTCCTGGAAAACGTCCCACAGTGGCTAATCTGAATCTCTAGTATCTTTAAATTTCAATCCCTCCCCAAAGACTTTAATCAATCAATGATCTGATACTCTATTTTTTTTTTAAGTAATCTCTACACCCAGCGTGGGGCTTAAACTCTCGACCCTGAGATCGAGAGTTACATGCTCTACCTACTGAGCCAGCCAGGCTCATGCTCTTTACGAATCTTTCACTGAAAGATATGAACTTGTTTGACTTCACTACTCTCCATGTTAAGATTTCTCTGAATCCAGGGGCACCTGGCTGGCTCAGTCGGAAGAGCATGGGAGTTCAAGCCCTATGCTGGGCATAGAGATTACTAAAAAAAAAAAAATTAAACTTTAAGATTTCTCTGAATCCACACTCCCATCCCTTCTCCTAAAATCAGCTTCTCTTTGTGTGCTTCTGAGCATGTGCCTACACAAGATAATGTCCACAATTTCCTTCTGTAAATGGTTCATTGCTGCATGTGCAGAGTCATGTGATCTCTCTGCTTGTAATTTTATTTATTTATTTTATTTTTTTGACAGAGAGAGACACAGCAAGAGAGGGAACACAAGCAGGGGGAGTGGGAGAGGGAGAAGCAGGCTTCCCGCAGAGCAGGGAGCCCGATGCAGGGCTCGATCCCAGGACCCTGGGATCATGACCTGAGCCGAAGGCAGACGCTTAACCAACTGAGCCACTCAGGTGCCCCACTCTCTGCTTGTAATTTAAAGTTAACCCCACTTAGAATTCAAATCACACAAGTCTAAAGTATGTGAGCGGGAAGATGCCTTCTTAGAAGTCCACTAATCTTATCCTCTACTTCTAACAATGAAGAAGCCAAGACCCAAGGAGTGTGACTTACTTAAAGCCACAGCCAATTAGGAGCAAAGCTGAGATCAGATCTTACTGCTTATCATTCTACAGCTGAGTTTCAAGGGTGTTAGAACTTACCAGATAGGTTAATATTTCCAATCCCCCAGGCTCACGATCTCTCATGATGATCGTAATGAACCATTAGAGAGACTGAGTGTACGTGGACACAGTGCTAACCAGATATTAACAGAGGAAGTTCTGTGCGAGGCCTACTTTGAAAAAGGAGCCTATGTGCTGAAGGGGGTAGCACAGAATCAAAGTACAACTGAGCTGACTTTACTTACCTATCAGAAGTGTGACGTCAGTGTCTGCTCCTCGTCTAAGCTTGAACTCTGTGTCCACACCACGGCAAGGGCAGCACGTACTGTCGATCACACTCTTCGGTTTTCTTCAAAACCGTGAGCTGAAAAGGAAAGAAATTATTGTTGATTACCCTTGCTGCGGATACGAATCAATTTCTCTAAGTAAAGATTCTGCATGAGAAAGAGAAAAATACCAGTCTTTTACTAGCCCTGTAACAGGAACCCTTCCAGCCACCACACACCCTTGGGAGAAATAAGCCTAGACTTAAAGATGGTCTGGGCTTTATATGCAGCAAACCCTTTGTGATGTCATCAGCTGTGACCATTTGGTGACCTCACATTGTAATTTGCTGGGATTCAGTGGCCAGAGACACTGATCAACCTTTCTGCTTACTTAAGCTACTGTCCCTGAGGTTAATGAAATAAATATCGTGTTAGCCCTATATCCACGGATATAGAAATGTTCCCCACTTGCTACTTAATGATTCCAATGAGGGATGAATATCCTGGCACTAGGTGGCAAGGGACAGTTTGGATTTTGTATAGCACTGTCACTCAAGTAGCTGTGAACAGCCTATATAAAACTGGACTGAGGGACGCCTGGGTGGCTTAGTCGGTTGAGCATCTGCCTTTGGCTCAGGTCATCATCCCAGGGTCCTGAGATTGAGTCCTGCGTCAGGCTCCTTGCTCAGCGGGGAGCCTGCTTCTCCCTCTGCCTGCCACTCCCCCTGCTTGTACACTTTCTCTCTGACAAATAAAATCTTAAAAAAATAAAACTGGACTGAGTCACTTAAGATGCTAAGCAAGGAACAATTTATATACATATTCAAGAAAGACCAAATTTATAGAAGCATACATGTTTAGTACACATGGCTAGAGCCTCAATTTATTCAAAGTGGCAAAGGTCTTGAACCATATCTTGATTACATAAACCATCAAGGTAATCCTGGCCCTAAACCTGACCACTTGCATATTGCCAAAATACAACACAGCACCTGTTGCATCAAAACTGGAGGGAAAATGACAATTGGTTAAGGGCTAAAAGATTTAACAGAGTAACAGAAGAGGTATAGGATATTCCCTCTCATTGCAGCTCTCATCCCCAGATCTCCACAGGGCTCTCCTCCTACTTCCTTCACATCTTATGTCACCTTCTCAATGAGGTGTCCAATCCACCTGAAGGTGCAAATCCCCACAGCCACCCCATGCCCTACTCCCCTCTCCTGCTTTCATGTGCTGGAAAGCTTGGATCATTATCCTTTATGATATATATGTGTCTCATTGGTCTTATTTTTTCATTCTCCCCCACTAGAATGTGAGCCACATGTGAGCTGGGACTTTTTAAAAAAGATTTTTATTATTTATTTGACAGAGAGCACAGGTAGGCAGAGTGGCAGGCAGAGGGAGAGGGAGAAGCAGGCTCTCTGCTGAGCAGGGAGCCCGATACGTGACTAGATCTCAGGACTCCGGGATCATGACCTGAGCCAAAGGCAGATGCTTTCTGTAATTTAATTTTATTATGTTATGTTAGTCACCATACAATACATCATTAGCTTTTGATGTAGTGACCCACGATTCATTGTTTTCGTACAACACCCAGTGCTCCATGCAGTATATGCCCTCCTTAATACCATCACCAGGCTAACCCATCCCCCCACCCCCCTCCCCTCTAAAACCCTCAGATTGTTTCTCAGAGTCCATAGTCTCTCATGGTTCGTCTCTCCCTCCGATTTCCCCCCCTTCATTTTTCCCTTCCTTCTCCTAATGTCCTCCATGCTATTCCTTATGTTCCACAAAGAAATGAAACCATATGATAATTGACTTTCTCTGCTTAACTTTTTTCACTTAGCCTAATCTCCTCCAGTCCCATCCATGTTGATGTAAAAGTTGGGTATTCATCCTTTCTGATGGCTGAGTAATATTCCATTGTATATATGGACCACATCTTCTTTATCCATTCATCTATTGAAGGGCATCCTGGCTCTTTCCACAGTTTGGCTATTGTGGACATTGCTGTTATGAACATTGGGGTGCATATGGCCCTTCTTTTCACTACATCTGTGTCTTTGGGGTCAATACCCAGGAGTGCAATTGCTGGATCATAGGGTAGCTCTATTTTTAATTTTTTGAGGCACCTCCACACTGTTTTCCAAAGTGGCTGTACCAACTTGCATTCCCACCAATAGTGTAAGAGGGTTCCCCTTTCTCCACAACCTCTCCAACATTTGTTGTTTCTTGCCTTGTCAATTTTTGCCATTCTAACTGGTGTAAGGTGGTATCTCAATGTGGTTTTGATTTGAATTTCCCTGATGGCTAATGATGATGAATATTTTTCCTTATGTCTGTTAGCCATTTGTATGTCTTCTTTGGAGAAGTGTCTGTTCATGTCTTCTGCCCATTTTTGACTTATTTGTTTTTTGGGTGTTGAGTTTGAGAAGTTCTTTATAGATCTTGGATACCAGCCCTTTATCTGTAGTGTCATTTGCAAATATCTTCTCCCATTCTGTGGGTTGCCTCTTTGTTTTGTTGACTGTTTCCCAAAGGCAGATGCTTAACCAACTGAGCTACCCAGGTGCCTGAGCTGGGACTTTTTTTCAACAACAATCAGCTTAAACAATATTCAACAGTTTGCGGAGGGGGGGGGGGCTTGCTTTTTTGTTTGTTTGTTTTGCTTCAGTATTTTAAAACATATTGCAGATATATGATTTCACACATAAATCTTAAGCTATACAAACCATACACTCTACTATAACAAACACTCCAACAGATAAGGGCTTTAAAAGACCCAAATATTATCATTGCATCTAAGAAATTATAATTACAGTCAACCCTTGAACAAAATAGGTTTGAACTACATGGGTCCACTTATACACAGAATTTTTTTTTAAACAGCACAGTATTGTAAATGTATTTTCTCTTCCTCATGACTTTCTCAATATGATTTTCTTTTCCCTAACTTACTTTATTGTAAGAATATAGCATATAATACATATACAAAATATATATTTATGTTACTGGCAAGGCTTTTGGTCAACAGTAGGCTATTAGTAGTTAAGTTTTGGGGGAGTCAAAAGTTATACTTGGATTTTTGATTGCATGAGGGGGTCAGCACCCCTAACTCCCCTCATTGTTCAAGGGTCAACTGTATTGCCTAATACCACAAGAAAATACCCATGTCCAATATTCCTGGTTGACCTAAATATGTCTCTCAAATTTGATTTGTTCTTATTAGGATCCAAACAAGGATCATCCACAGAATTGGCTAAATTATGATGTAATCCTCTTTTCATCTATAACATCCCCTTAACCTTTTGTGTTTGCCATTTCTTTGATGAAAATACTGGATTATTTGTCCTGTAGAATTACTCACATTCTGGATTTTTCTGGAGGCATCCTTGTCCTGAACAAATTCCATTATAATCAGAATATCTCATAGTGAGATCTATAGACTTGGTTAGATTCAGGCTAAATTACCTTAGCAATTACCTTATACTTGATGCTTTGTACTCCTATTACACCATATCAGAACGCACATGATATCTGTTTCACACACTGCTGATATAAAGATTGGTCAGGGGGCACCTGGGTGGCTCAGTCAGTTAAGCGTCTGCCTTCAGCTTAGGTCATGATCCTGGAGTTCTGGGATTGAGCCCAGCATCGGGCTCCCTGCTCAGCAGGGAGTCTGCTTCTCCCTCTGCCCCTCACCCTGCTCCAGCTCTCTCTCACTCTGTCTCTCTCAAATAAATAAATAAAATAAAAATAAAGATTGGTCAGTGGGTCATAGTACTCTTACTGTGATTCACCCACATTATAAAATTTCCCATCGTTCTTTTACTTACATTTTATTAAATTTGCATGGGCTTATTCTTTTATTATTGATATGAAATTCATACTCCATATAATTTATCATTTTAAAGTATACAAGTCATTGTTTTTTTGAGTTTGTCCACAAAATTGTGCACCCATCACCACAATCAATTTTAGAATATTTTCATCATCCCAAAAAGAAAGTCCATACCCATTAGCAGTCATTCCCCATTCCCCCAACCCCCAGCCCCTGACAACTTCTAATCTACTTTTTTTTCTATGGATTTACCTCTTCTGGACATTTCTTGTGAATAGGATCATGCAATATGTATTTTTTTGTGTCTGCCTTTTTAAAAGTACTATATTTTCAAGGTTAATCCATGTTGTATCATGTATTATCTTCATTCCATGCAATGACTAAATAAAAATCCATGGTATGGATATAGCACATTTTATTTAAATGTTCATCAGTTGATGGACATTTGGGTCATTTCTCCCTTTTAGCTTTATGGATAATGCTGCTATGAACATCATGTACAAGTTTTTGTTTGAATATCTGTTTTCAGTTCTCTGTTATTTATACCCAGGAGTGGAATTGCCGATCACGTGGTCGCTCTATGTTTAACTTTTCATGGAATTGCCAAATGGCTTTCCCAGGTGTCCACACCATTTACATTCCCACTAGCAGGGTATGTGAGATTCAGTCCTTGACATCCTCACTGCAAATTGCTTTTTTCCGTTTTATTTTTAATATAGCCATCTTGCTAAGTAGGAAGTGGTATCTCCATGTTGTTTTAAGTTTTATTTCCCCAATGACTAATGATGTTGATCATCTTTTCTTGTGCTCATTGGCCATTAGCATGGAGGGACCAATGGATTTGCAGCATGAGAACCCCATGTGTGTGAATCCATCTTGTGCAACCCTGGTTCACGATGGCAAAGCCAGTGAGTCTCTTCATACCTCAGTTTCCCGACACAATGAGTAGTAACCGAATCTGTGTCTGTCCAGGGAAGGGGGACAGAAGAAAAGGCTTTGGCTTGGATCTCTGCGTGAGGAAATGGCCCTTACTCCCTAAAGGGAAGGACAGGAAACACAGGGAGGAATCCAGAGGGGCAGCTGAGATCCAGAGGCCAGGGATGGGTCAGGAAATTCACTTTCCACTCTGCCTGGTGGGGAAGGTGAGGCAGAGCATTCACCCCTCCCTCCACCCTCTGGGAGTGGAAGGCAGCAGGGATTTGTGAGATTTCCTGTGTTGACCTGAAATGCAGAAAGGCAGCTGCCTGACCAGGACAAAGCCCCTCAGGGTCCTCATTGTCTTCCTTCCTTCCCGCCCTAGAAATCCCCACCCACTTCTGTCCAAACAACTAGGGAATGGGTGAGAAAAGGGGTCTGGGAGTCAGAGCCTGAGCCAGGCTGGGAGTAGCCTGGACTGGATGGTCCTGAGGGGACTATGCAGGTGTGGGCAAAGGTGACTTCAATTTCTCCCTTGAAATATGTCTGTATTCATGAAGATCCTTTTTCTTAAATAAGCAAGGACTCCAAACAGGAAGAGTCAACAAAGTTCATTGTTTAGTAACCAAATAGCTGGAGGACCCATGAATCTGGGGAGCTGCTTCGACGACTGTTTTAAAAGATCTTTATTTGCATCCATCTCTCTGTCTCTCTCCTTAGGTTACAACCTGCTGGGAGGATCCACGCACCCAATTAACACCCCTCATCTCTGAGTGGCCGCATCACCTGTTAGGCTCGTGTTCCTCTCGTCATCTACACGTGTCTCCATCATGGGAGCATTCTTTTGCAAGAGCAACGTGTTCCTCTCTCAATAGTTAGGAAGAAATAAATCAAGACGGCGGTCAGGCAGGAGAGACCTGCCAGTCACTGTGATTCCTTCGGACCCAGCACATCCGCATCCACCTAGGCGGTGTGGACACCGCCTGCAGCAGCCCCGGCCCCACGCAAGGAGCGCTGGCTCCCTAGCAGGTCCTTGGCAAAGGGCGGGAGGGAGGTGACAGGGCGGAAGGAGCGCCTGCTGTCCGGATGCCGACTCTCACCTGGGGAGGGAGCAATTAAAGTTTTCATAACCTCAGGCATAAGAATGATGCAAACTTGTAACATCGTTTGGAAGTGTATTTATTTAAACTTCTTTTCCAAGTAGTTTTGCAACTGTTGAAGGGTAAATTTTCGATTTGTTTCAGCACATTCATCGTCTTGCCGGCAGGGACCCTACAAGGCGGACAAATTGATTTTCCGGAGCAAATGGCAAAACACGGCTTTCTGCTCTGACTTTCCCAGGTCCACGCCTCTCCGCCCCTTCTTGCACCTGGGACCTTCTGAGGATGTCCCACCCCTCCCTTGGGCGGGGCCAACACCGAGGAACCCGGATTCTCACCCCCTCCCCCAAGACCCCGTATCTCCAGCCCCCGCCGGCTCCAGGGAATAGGAGGAGACGCCGACGCTGGGGGGAGGGGCTGCGGCCTACCCGGGGCCTCGAGGGCGCTGCTTTACGGCAGAGATGGGCTGGGGTCGCAGTCACACCGTTTACCCCGGCGTGAGCGCCGGAGCTCACCTGGTTTTTCCCGCAGGCCCGCGGCCTCCGTCAGGTGGGTCCCTTGGCCTTTGTCCCTTTGCCTTTCCTTTCCTTTCCTTTCTGGGACGGGAGGGGGCCCGGGGCCGGGGGCCGGGTTTGGGCGGCCCTTCCGGGCCCGAGGACCTTCCCTGTCCCCCAGCGTGTGGGCAGCCTGTGCCCGGCGTGCTTACCTAGGCCCTCGGTGGCTGCAGCCCCGACGGCTGGGAGGGACGGGGCCGAGGCGGGGCGAGGTCCGGCGTTTGGGCGAGGCTGGTCGGGCGTGAGCGCCGGGATTGGACCGCCGCCTACGTTCTAAGTTCTGTGCCCCGGCGGGGGTAGGGGGGAGAGCCTGGTCGTAGCGCCCCTGGGGCCTCCGCGGCCGGCGGGTGGGCCTGGGAGCGTTTCCCTGTGGCTGTGGGTGGGCCCGCGGATTCCTGGATTCCTTCTCCCCTCTCTCCCCTGGCCTTCCTCCCTATTTGCGTGGCCGCGGGAGGTTCCGCTTGGTCGGTTTGGACGGAGGGCTTCTCAAAATGTATCCCGAGAGCAGTAACGTTTCGTGTAAAGAAACATGTTGCTTCTAGGGACTGAGGAAAAAAATAGGTGTCCTTCTTGGCCGTGTTGGGCTCAATCCTCTACTCATTTCTGACAAACTTTCTTGAAAATCTTGCAAAAAAACCAGTTCCAGCGACTGGCCTAGGAAACTATTCCGTCCTATAAATTGTTTATTTAAATCAGAGAGGGAGACAAACCATGAGAGACTCTTAATCATAGGAAACAAACTGAGGGTTGCTGGAGGGGAGGGGGGTGGGGGAGATAGGGTAACTGGGTGATGGACATTGAGGAGGGCACGTGATGTAAATTAAAAATAAAATAAAAAGTAAGTAAATTGTTTAAGTGAAACCATTGGATTCACACAATAGGTTGCAAAAGAATATGAGGAGTGTCATTCACATTATTTTAAATGGACTGATAGGACTTGTGAGACGGGTTAATTTTCACAAGTCGTTTGTGCTCTTCCTGATTTGTAACTTAGCAGGGGAGCTAAATTTGAAGAGGTAAAGTGACCTGAGTGAAGAAATCCAGGCTCTTTATTTAAATTTAAATGCAATTTCATTGACATATAGTGTATTATTAGTTTCAGAGGTAGAATTTAGTGATTCATTAGTTGTGTATAACACCCAGTGCTCATTCATTAAATGCCCTCCTAATGCCCATCACCCAGTTACCCCATCCCCCCACCTACCTCCCCTCCAGCAACGCTTAGTTTGTTTCCTAGAGTTAAGAGTCTCATGATTTGCCTCCCTCTCAATTTTCATCTTATTTTATTTTCCTTCCCTTCCCCTATGTTCATTTGTTTTGTTTCTTAAATTCCACATATGAGTGAAATCCTATGGTATTTGTCCTCTGACTTATTTTGCTTAGCATAATACCCTCTAGTTCCATTCATGTCATTGCAAATGGCAAGGTTTCATTCTTTTTGGTGGCTGAGTAATATTCCAGTGTGTGTGTGTGTGCACCTCATCTTTATGCATTCATCTGTTGATAGACATCTGGGCTGTTTCCATATTTTGGCTATTGTGGACATTGCTGTTATAAACATTGGGGTGCACGTGCCCCTTCAAATCACTATGTTTGTATCCTTTGGGTAAATACCTAATAATGCAATTGCTGGGTCGTAGGGTAGTTCTATTTTTAACTTTTTGAGGAACCTCCATACTGTTTTCCAGAGTGGCTACACCAGTTTGCATTCCCACCAACAGTGTAAGAGGTTTCCTCTTTCTCTGCATCCTCACCAGCATTTGTTTCCTATGTTGTTCGTTTTAGCCATTCTGACAGGTGTGAGGTGGTATCTCATTGTAGTTTTGATTTGTATTTTCCTGAAGCCCAGTGATGTTGAGCATCTTTTCATGTGTCTGTTAGCCATCTGGATGTCTTCTTTGAAAAAATGTCTATTTATGTCTTCTACCCATTTCTTTTTTTAAAAAAAAGATTTTATTTATTTCACAGAGAGACACAGCGAGAGAGGGAACACAAGCAGGGGGAGTGGCAGAGGGAGAAGCAGGCTTCCCGCTGAGCAGGGAGCCCAATGTGGGGCTCAATCCCAGGACCCTGGGATCATGACCTGAGCCGGAGGCAGGCGCTTAACGGCTAAGCCATCCAGGTGCCCCATGTCTTCTGCCCATTTCTTAACTAGATTTTTTTTGGGGTGGTATTGAGTTTGATAAGTTATTTTAAAAAGACTTTTAATTTATTTGACAGAGACACAGAGAGAGAAGGAACACAGCAGGGGAAGTGGGAGAGGGAGAAGCAGGCCTCCCGCTGAGCAGGGAGCCAGATGTGGGGCTCCATCCCAGGACCCTGGGATCATGACCTGAGCCGAAGGCAGACGCTTAGCGACTGAGCCACCCAGGCACCCCGAGTCCGGTAAGTTCTTTATAGATTTTGGATACTAACCCTTTATCAGATCTGTCATTTGCAAATATCTTCTCCCATTCTGTAGGTTGCCTTTTAGTTTTGTTCTTTCCTTCGCTGTGCAGAAGCTTTTTATCTCGATGAAGTCCCAATAGTTTACTTTTGCTTTTGTTTCCCTTGCCTTTGGAGACATGTCTAGCAAGAAGTTGCTGCGGCCAAGGTCAGAGAGGTTGCTGCCTGTGTTCTCTTCCAGGATTTTGATGGATTCCTGTCTCATACTTAGGTCTTTCATCCATTTTGAGTTTATTTTTGTGTATGCTGCAAGGAAATGGTCCAGTTTCATTCTTCTGCATGTGGCTGTCCAATTTTCCCAACACCATTTGTTGAAGAGACTGTCTTTTTTCCATTAGATATTCTTTCCTGCTTTGTCGAAGATTAGTTGACCATAGAGTTGAGGGTCCATTCCTGGGTTCTCTGTTCTGTTCCACTGATCTGTGTGTCTGTTTTTGTGCCAGTACCATACTGTCTTGATCACTACAGCTTTGTAATACACCTTGAAGTCTGGAATTGTGATGCCTCCGGCTTTGGTTTTCTTTTTCAACATTCCTTTGGCTATCGGGGTCTTTTCTGGTTCCATACAAATTTCAGGATTGTTTGTTCCAGCTCTGTCAAAAACGTTGATGGTATTTTGATAGGGATTGCATTGAATGTGTAGGTTCCTTTGGGTAGGTAAGACATTTTAACAATATTTGTTCTTCCAATCCATGAGCATGGAATGTTTTTCCATTTCTTTGTGTCTTCCCTAATTTCTTTCATAAGCAATCTATAGTTTTCAGAGTACAGATCCTTTCCCTCTCTGGTTAGGTTTATTCCTGCGTCGCTTATGGGTTTTGGTGCAATTGTAAATGGGATCGATTCCTTGATTTCTCTTTCTTCTGCCTCATTGTTAGTGCTGACTTCTGTGCATTGATTTTATATCCTGCGACTTTGCTGAATTCCTGTATCAGTTTTAGCAATTTTTGCGTGAAATCCAGCCTCTTATATTCCTGTGTATTTAAAACTTTTAAGAGCTTGTCATTAGTTCTACAACCTTACTGTATTTCACTCATTAAATGGTTCCTACTCTGTAGCATCAGAACTCCCATAAATCCGTTCTGTCCACGTTTGATTATTTATGACACATGTCACACCTTGTTCAGTCCCTAGTGAAATCTGAAAAAAGAAGTAGGTTATATAATTTATAGAAATGAACAAAGGTCAAAAGTTTATCTTATACACATGTGTTTGTATGTCACATGCCTATCCAGATACACATGCCCTTTTGGCCATTCATGAACAAAAAAATGTAGGTGGAAGGACCATGCTGTTGATTGTGATGAGACTCTTTCAGACCATATTTTAACGACATCTCTGTTCTTTTAAAGACAAAATAGGAATTTATTTATTTATTTATTTATTTTTTAAAGATTTTATTTGACAGAGAAAGACAGCTAGAGAGGAAACACAAGCAGGGGGAGTGGGAGAGGGAGAAGCAGGCTCCTGGCTGAGCGGGGAGCCCTACGCGGGGCTCGATCCCAGGACCCTGGGATCATGACCTGAGCCGAAGGCAGACGCTTAATGACTGAGCCACCCAGGCGCCCCAGGAATTTATTTTTTTAAAAAAGATTTTATTTCTTTGACAGAGACACAGCGAGAGAGGTGGGAGAGGGAGAAGCAGGCTTCCTGCGGAGCAGGGAGCCCGATGTGGGGCTTGATCCCAGGACCCTGGGATCATGACCTGAGCCGGAAGGCAGATGGTTAATGACTGAGCCACCCAGGCGCCCCCAAAATAGGAATTTAAATTACGATTTTTAAACACAATTTTTTGGAAAAGTTGATTGTTATCAAACAGCACAGATGTTAGTAATGAATTTTTGACCTAAAATAATTATCTGTTTCTGCGTATGCATTTAACCAAGCCCCCAAATTTTCAGGGGCTTTCCCCAAGCAATGGGATTACTGGTGGTTTACATTTTCATCTTTTTACAGTTTTCTGTGCAATAGGAGGATCTGAAAGAAACAAGCTTTTTAAAGAAGCAGTTTCAGTTTATCAAAGATAATGAAGGCTAGGGGCAATACATGTTTCCCCTGCTATCAGAAATTAAAGAACATTCCTATGAAACTTATCCTAAGCTGAAATGGCATAAAGTCAAGAGTATCCCGCACTTTCTGAAAATTTGAAAGTTCATGTTACGCCACATCACTTTTAAGGAAGTCCGAGAGTAGTACTGGTTTTTGCTAACTGAAGGAAATCTGAGGATTGTCGCTTTCTGGAAAAAAGCTGTTACCATACTAATGTTGGTCTTTCATAAAAGTGAAGTGGTGTAACTCAAACTTTTGGGAACGGGATACTCGAATACAAAATTATGATACTGAGGCAAATGTTAATCTCATTTCTACAATTTAACACCTCATGTTAAGTTCTGCAAAGAAGATTTGATGGCATGAGATAGCAATTGAAACGTAAGGGTTAGGGATTTTCACATGAGGGACAGCACCCATTTTAAGTATTCAAAGAGATTGACTCCACACTTTGTGTGAAAACATCAGCCTGTGAAATGGCATTTTACTCTCTGCATGTGTAGGATAAATCCTTGCAAGAAAATAGTAAGTGATGACTTGAGACCACTTAAGATGAGCCAGATTTGGGGTGCCTAGGTGGTGTAGTGAGTTAAGCATCCAATTCTTGATTTGGATTCAGGTCATGATCTCTGGGTCCTGGGATCGAGCCTCATGTCAGGCTTCATGCTCAGCGCGGAGTCTGCTTGAGATTCTCTCTCCCCATCGTGTTTTCTTTCTCTAAATAAATCTTTTTTTTAAAAGATGAGCCAGATTCAACATAGGGCCAGAAATAGTTAATACATAAAAAGTTGATACAATAAACTAGTAATACAAGCTCCTCAGAGGGGCAGGTCATGAGTAGAAACCCTTGATGTGTAAGAAATTGTACAACAGTGCAATTTTTGCTTAGATTTTCCTTATAAGTTGGTAGGGAATCTTTTTGTGTATTTAGGGTACTTTTGTGTTTCTTTCTCTGTGGGCTGTTAATATCTTTTACTATTGGGTGGTACCAAAATTATTTCTAAAGCGTCCTCTAAAGTGTGAGTTGAAAATATTTTCTTATTTATCATTGCTTTTCTGACTTTGATTATGAGGGGGTTTTTTAATATGGTGAATTTTGCCTGTTCATATGTATCCATGTTTTCTTTGATGGGTTTTGAATCAAAGATCGAAAGGCTTTCCCTCCTGCACATTTACAATGGAATCAGCCCATGCTTTCTTTTAGTAGTTGTATGATTCTGTTCATTGCACATTTAATTCTTGGATCCATCTTTTCTAGATGGGTACCCCTTTGTCCCAAATGTGTCTTTACCTCCACTGATTTGGGAGGCTACCTTTTGTATGCTAAATTGTTTGTTTTTAAAGATTTTATTTACTTATTTGAGAGTGTGCACAAGTCGGGGCAGGGGGGGCAGAGGGACAAGCAGCCTCCCCACCCAGTGTGGAGCCTGGTGCGGGCTTGAGCCCAGGACCCTGAGATTATGACCTGAGCAGAAGTCAGATGCTTAACTGACTGAGCCACCCAGGAGCCCCTGTATGCTAAATTCTTGTATGTCTTTGGGTCTTTTTTTTTTTTTTAATTTATTGAAGTGTCATTGACATATAGTATTTAGTTTCAGGTGGGGGTGCCTTGGCTGGCTCAGTAGGCTGGCAACTCTTGATCTTGGAGTTGTGAGTTTGAGCCCCACATTGAGTGTAGAGATCACTAAAAATAAATACACTTAAAAAATAGTTTCAGCGGGTGCCTGGATGGCTCAGTCGGTTAAACGTCTGCCTTTGGCTCAGGGTGTGATCCCTGGGTCCTGGGTTCGAGCCCCGCATCAGGCTCTCTGCTCAGCGGGGAGCCTGCTTCTCCCTCTCCCTCTGCCTGCCACTTTGCCTACTTGTGATCTGTCTCTGTCACATTAATAAATAAAATCTTTTAAAAAATAGTTTCAGGTGTCTAACATAGCGATTCAATTATATACATTATGAAATGCTCAGAGTAAGTGTAGTAACCATCTGTCACCATACAAAGTTACTACAATATTATTGACTATATACCCTATGCTGTACTTTTCATCCCCATAACTTATTTTATAACTAGAAGTTTGTACTTGTTAATTCCCTTCACCTATTTCACCCATTACCCCACCCTCCTCCCCTCTGGCAACCACCTGTTTGTCATCTGTATTTCTGAGAATACTTGTTTTTTGTTTTGTTTTGTTTTTTAGATTCCACATGTAAGTGAAATCATATGATACTTGTCTTTCTCTGTCTGACTTCATTTAGTTAATATTCTTTAAGTCCATCAGTGTTGTTATGAATGGCTAGATTTCATTCTTTTTATGGTGAGTAATATTCCATTGTGTATATATATACTACATTTTTATCCATTGATCTATCAGTGGACACTTGGGTTGTTTCCATATCTTGGATATTTTAAGTAAAGCTGCAGTAAACATTGGGTGCATATATTTTTCTGAATTAGTTCTTTTGGTCTCCTCAGATAAATACTCAATAGTAGAATTATTGGATTGTATGGTATTTCTATTTTTAATTTTTTGAGGAACCTCCATATTTCCCTAGTGGCTGCACCAATTTACATTCCCATCAATAGTGCATAAGGGTTCCTCTTTTTCCACATCCTCACCAACACTTGTTATTTCTTGTCATTTTGATACTAGCCATTCTGACTGGTGTGAAGTGATATATCATTGTAGTTTTGATTTGCATTTCTTTGATGTTAGGTGATGTTGGAGCATCTTTTCATATGTCTGTTGGCCATCTGTATGTCTTTGGAAAAATATCGGTTTGGGTCCTCTGGCCATTTTTTAATAGGGTTGTTTTTTGTTACTGCGTTTTATGAGTTCTTTATATATTTTGGGTATTAACCCCTTATTGGATATATGATTAACAAATATCTTCTCCCA